AAAAAAAAAAAAAAAACACTAAATTGCAAACAAACCATTGACTAATTACTACTAGCTATATCAGTAAATCCAGTATCATCTTGACCAGACATTGTTGCCTAGACAAACTTCCCAATTCTTATCTTGGACTTAACAAGATTAAACATAATTAAGAAAAAATAAGAAAATAAAAATCAAGCGACGACATAATTAAATATTTCAAGAATGTGTGTTTCAATACAAAGTAACATTGCGACTTCTGACGTCTTCGTTATTATATTTCTATGTTTGAATTTAAATTGGCTAATCAATAAAAGGGCCTCATTTGATTAACAAGAGTTAATTCATTCTTCTACTAGTTGACACATATTTTATTCAATGAAAGCAATTAGATTTTGGGTACAGATAGCAGCTGCCATACCATACATAAATATTAGCAGATACCATATTTCTCATTTAATGAACTCAGCATACATAAATCAAGAACCAGATTATTCTTTCTCTAGATTCTCATGGTGTCAAGGAATGATTTGCCATCAAGTTCCCGCGAAAATAATCCTTTCATATAATCAACAAAGCTGATTCTTTTAAACTTTGCTTGAGTTTCAGGGGTCACAAGGCTCGGTGCTGGACCAAAATCACCATCTATATTTGGGTTGAAAAATGTGGCAATGGAGAGCCTTTCTTTCTTCGAGTTGACAGTTGCTCGATGTTCAATGTTTCGGTAAATTCCATTTGTCACAATCTGTCAAAGCAGTTAATGATAAGATCCAATGGAAACGATAAAAAGACTCAACAGATCTCAATAAATGCAACAATATTTATAGGCTATAGCTATACAAACCGTTGAGAGAACAATTTATAAATGGAGCGACTTTAAGCCATTTGACCATGTACAAATACCTCTAAAATGTCTCCAATGTTGATAACGAAAGCATCAGGGAGTGGTACAACACGAATCCAAGCTCCATCTTTCTTAATCTGAAGACCTTCAATTTCATTGACTTGGAGGAGGATGGTGAGTCCAACTGCATCAGAG